CAGACTCTCACTTCATCTCCCTAAATTTTTGGCCCCACACCTCACCTTCATTCTCCTCTATGCCTGGGTGCATGATTCCAGAGCCCCCAGGATTTATTTCCCTAGAATATGAAGTTCTAGTCTCATGGAGGTGGAGTCATGGCAAGAGAACGGAAGGGGAGAGGAAATAAGCCCTGGTCACAGAAATACAGAAGACAGAAGGAAACATGAAAAAATAACTGCTTTGCACACCAGTTTTAGCAACCCTCTTATTCCTATTCCTTTCTCCATTGACACCTTCCTAGGTGTTACAAGCTACAAGTCTTTCTTGGGATCTTAGTGGGGCTCTGCTGCATCCTCCTTGGTATATCCCTCTTCAGGTTCAGAAGTCGTTTTAGCTCCTGCTCAGCTATGCCATGTATTACCTTCCCATCTACTTCCAGATTTTTAAAAGTTTGTAGAAATCTCTTGTCTACTCTTATCCCCTCTTTATTCTCTTTGTAATATTGCTTTTTTAACTATTAAAAATGCCTTTCATTTTATTTTAATAGAGTTTTAGGAGAGAAAGAAAATAAATGTGTATAGCTATTCCATTCTAACTGAATTCAAATATGACATTTATTATCTACTTACTTTTGCTCCTTCATTCTTTTAAGACATATTTAATAGTCTTTGAGTGACTACCATAATAGTAAAGTTATAAGAACAGCATTAATAACTTTCATTCTTGAATTAATATAGTATTTTAGAGTTTTAAAAGCCCTTTTGCATTTAATCCTCCATGTGGAGTAGATGTTTTTATCCTCATATTACACAAGATAATTGAGGTTAATAGAGTTTAAATAATATGTCTATAGCCACATAGTTATAAAAGGGCTCAAAACTAGAACCTCAATATTTTGGACCCTTACTTTGGTACTCTTTTTAGGACATTAAAAATGCATTTTGCTAACCACTTGTATGAGGTTTAAGTATGAACAAGACCTAATTTTTCCCTCAAGGAGCTCTTAACCTAAGGAGAAGAAAATCATGATATTTTAATTTTAACATAAAAAAGAAGGGAATAAGTATTTCAGTGTTAATAGACTGTGCTTCCAAGATAGATAATATGTTTGGAGAATGAAAGAAAAGGAAGTCTTGTTGTAGTTAGAAAAATCCAAGAAAGTGGGCATTTGAGCTCTGACCATGAAGGAAGGGTACAGGTTCTATAAGCAGATAGAAGAAGGGATTTCCTGAATGGTAGAAAAGAATGAGCAAGTACATGATGGGGGACAGTCCTTAGCGTATTACTGGAATAGGTGCTCTGGCTGCCAGTTGCAAGGTGAACGGATAGAAGTGGGTTGGAAAGGTAATTTAGAGCAATATCATAGAGGTCTTGAATGTCTCAATAAGGAATTCAGAACTGATTGATTTTTTTAAAAAAGGAAAGCAAACAAGTGACATAAAAATACGATTGCTTTTTCTGTTTTCTTACCAATGTTTTTCTTTTTTCCAAATGATTTCGTACTTTCTAGATATAAACTTAACCTTAAGAATTTACCAGAAAGAACTGGAGGCCTTTGTCACTAAAGTTGCCTCCTTGTGCTTAGAGCTATGGGAAATGTGAATAGACTGGGAAATTATCAGGGAAAGAGGCTTTAATAACTTCCCTTGTATGAACAGATTTCAAAGATAGGGAAACTAAGGCCCAGGGAGGTTATAAACTGTAATTCCTTTCCTATTTATCACAACAATTAATTATTACTTCTGTTATAAAAATAATAATAACAAGAACAACTTATATTTTTATAATATAGTATAACCATTATGAATAGGTTTCTGAAAAATAACTAGGAGAGTGGTTCCTATTACAAGAACTTAAGATACTATGAAAAATACAAATTTAGTAGGAAGGAGACCAGGAGTAAAACCTATGAAAGACTTAATTTTTATGTTTACTAAAATAAAACAGTAATGACAGAACACTCAATAGAGGTAACACTAATGATATTTTGTGCATCTTCAATTAGGAATAATGGCTTCTGTGAAATTAATTTTCATTTATTACCTCTTCAAACTGTTCAGGGTTTTACTCCCCTGTGGTTTCTAGGATAGCCTTGTTATTTGTTTTTGTGGACATTATGCAGAGCAAGAGGCATTCGTTTCTGTGTTTTTTCTCCATGTAAATATGTCTTCTGGGTTTTTTTAATTAAAGTACAGTTGACATACAGTATTATATAAGTTTCAGGTGAACAACATAGTGATTCAACACATACACATTAAGAATTGATCAGCACAAGTCTAGTAACTGTCATCATACAAACTTATTGCAATATTACTGACTATATTTCCTATGCTGTATATTTTATTCCCATGACATTTCTTTTATATAGGAAGTTTGTACCTCTTAATTCCCTTCACCTATTTTGCCCGAACCTCTCCACTCCCCTCTCCTCTGATGGCGACAAGTTGGTTCTCTGTATCTATGGATCTGTTTCTGTTGTTCTGTTTATTTTATTTATTTTTTTGAGATTCCACATATAAGTGAGATCAATTAGTATTTGTCTTTCTCTGTCTGACTTATTGCACTCAGTATAATGTTTTCTAGGTCCATTCATGTTGTTGCAAAGGGACAAATTTCATTCTTTTTCATGGCTGAGTAATATTCAATTGTGTGTACATACCACCTCTTTTTTGTCCATTCATGTATCAGTGGACACTTAGGTTGCTTCCATATCTTAGCTAATGTAATAACATTGCAATGAACAAAGGGATGCATATATCTTTTCTGAAGTAGTGTTTTCATGTTCTTGGTGTAAATATCCAGAAGAGGAGTTGCTGTATCAAATGATAGTTCTATTTTTAATTTTTTGAGGCATCTCCATACTGTTTTCCATAGTAGCTCTGCCAATTTGCATTCCCACTAGCAGTGCGTGAGGGTTCCCTTTTCTCCATGTCCTCGCCAACAGTAGTTACTTTGTCTTTTTGTAATCATTTTGACTGATGTGAGGTGATATCTCATTGTGGTTTTGATTTGTATTTCCCTGATGATTAGTGATATTCAGCATGTTTTCATGTATCTGTTGACTGTCTATATATCCCCATTTTTTAATTGAATTGTTTGTATTTATGATAATGAGTTGTGTAAGTTTTTTACATATTTTGGATATTAACCCATTATTGGGTATATGATTTGCCAGTACATTCTCCCATTCAGTAGATTGCCTTTTCATTTTGCTGATGGCTTCCTTTGCTGTGCAAAACTTTTTAGTTTATTGCAGTCCCATTTCTTTATTTTTGCTTTTGTAGCCCTTACCTGAGGAGACAGATCTAAAAAAGTATTGCTAAGATAAATATCAAAGAGCATACTGCCTAAGTTTTCTTCTAGGGATTTTATGGTTTCAAATTTTACATTTATGTTTTTAATACATTTTGAGTTTATTTTTGTATGTGGTATAAGGAAGTAGTCCAGTTTCATTCTTTTGAATATAGCTGTTCCAGTTTTCCCAAAATGATTTATTGAAGAGACTGTCTCTTCCCCACTACATATTTTTGGTTTGCCTATAGTAAATTAACTGACTGTATAAGTGTGGTTTTATCTCTGATCTCCCTCTTCTGTTACATTGATCTCTGTGTGTGTTTTTGTGTCAGCACCATATGTTTTGATTAATATAAATTTGTCATACAGTTTGAAAGTGGGGAGTGTGGTACTTCTAAGTTTGTTCTTTGTTCTTCTTTCTTAGGATTGCTTTGGCTATTTCAGGTCTTTTGTGGTTCTATACAAATTTTAGGATTATTTGTTCCAGTCCTATCAAAAATGTCATGGGCATTGTGATAGGGATTGCATTGAATCTGTAGATTGCTTTTGGCATTGTGGTCATTTTAACAATATTTATCTTTCCAACCCATGAAGTAGCTTATCTTTCCATGTTACCTGTGTGTTTGTCATATATTGCCTTTATTATATTGAGATATGGTCTTTCAATACCCATTTTGTTCAGAGTTTTCATTATAACTGGGTATTTAATTTTGTCAGATGCTTTTTTCTACATCTATTAATATGATCATATGATTTTTATCTTTTGTTTTGTTCATGTGGTGTATGATATTGATTGATTTCAGGATGTTGAATCATCCTGGTATCCCTAGAATAAATATCACTTGATTATGGTGTGTGATCCCTTTAATGTATTGTTGAATTCAGTATGCTATTATTTTATTGAGGATTTTTGCATCTATGTTCATCTGGGACATTGGCCTGTAATATTTTTTAAATTTTTGTCTGGTTTTGGTATCAGGATAATACTGGCCTTGTAGAATGAGTTTGAAATCATTCCTCTTCAATTTTTTGGAGTAGTTTGAAAAGGATAGGTATTGACTCTTCTTTAAATGTTTAGAATTCCCCTGTGAAGATGTCCAGTCCTGGACTTTTTTTGTTGGGATTTCTTTTATTACTGATTCAAACTCAGTTATGTTCAGATTTTCCATTTCTTCCTGATGCAGTATTGGAAAATTCTGTATTTCTAGAAATTTCTCCATATCTTCTAGATTGTCCATTTGTTGGTGTATAACTGTTTGTAGTATTATCTTACAAAGTTTTGTATTTCTGTGGTGTTGGTTGTAACTCCTCCTCTTTCATTTCTGATCTTATTTATTTGGGCCCTATCTTCTTGATGAGTCTGGCTAAATGTTTCTCAATTTTGTTTCTTTGCCGAAAAACAACTCTTAGTTTCATTGATCTTTTCTATTGTTTCTTCAGTCTCTGTTTTATTTATTTCTGCTCTGATCTTTCTTGTTTCCTTCCTTCTAATAACTTTGGGTTTTATTCTTCTTTTCCCAGTTCCTTTAGGTGTAAGGTTAAATTGTTTATTTGAGATTTTTCTTGTTTCCTGAGGTAGGCCTGGAAAGCTAAAAACTTCCCTCTTAGAACTGTTTTTTATGTGTCCCACAGACTTTGGAACGATGTGGTCCCACGTTCATGTGTGTCTATGTTGTCTGATATAAGTATTGCCACCTAAGCTTTCCTTTTGTTTATATTCGAGTGGAATATCTTTTTTCCATCCCTTTACTTTAAGCCTGTGTGTCTTTAAGTCTAAAGTGAGTCTCTTGTAGGCAACATATATATGAGTCTTGTTTTTTTATCCATCCAGCCACTCTTGTCTTGATTGAAGCTTTTAATCCATTCACACTTAAAGTAGTTAGTAATAGGTATGTACTTGTTGCCATTTTGCTCATTGTTTTCTGTTTTTTGTAGATCTTATCTGTTCCTTTATTCTTCTCTTGTTTTCTTTCTTTGCAGTTTAATGACGTTCTTTAGTATTATATTTGTATTCCTTTCTCTTTATTTTTGTATATCTGTTGTAGATTTTTGGCTGGTGGCTACCATGAAGTTCATATATAACAACATATATAGAGCAGTCCATTTTATATCGATGGTTGCTTGAGTTCAAATGCATTCTAAAAGCGCTATATTTTTATTCTCCTCTCTCCAAAAGGTTTTGCTGTTAATGTCATAGTTTACATCTTTTAAAAAATTTTTTTTGTATTGCTTAAGTAATTATTTTATTATTTATTTATTATTTTATATTGGAGTATAGTTGATTAACAATGTTGTGTTTGTTTCAGGTGTACAGCAAAGTGATTCTGTTATACATATACGTGTATCTGTTCTTTTTTCAAATTATTTTCCCATTTAGGTTATTACAAAATACTGAGAAGAGTTCCCTGTGCTGTACAGTAGGTCCTTGTTAGTTATCTATTTTAAATATAGCAATATGTATATGTAAGTCCCAACTCCCAATCTATCCCTTTGTAAAATAAGATATAGCTAATTTTACTACTTTTGTCTTTTAAACTTCATACTAGATCTATAGGTGCTTGATCTACTACTTTACTATGTTTGCCTTCACCAGTAAGGTTTTTTCTTTCATAATATTTGTGTTTCTAGTTATGGCCTTTTCTTTTCTGTTTAAAGAAGTCCTTTAACATTTCTTGTAAGGACAGTTTAATGGTGATGAACTCTCTTAGCTTTGCTTTGTCAGAAAAACTCATTATTTCTCCTTCAATTCTGAAAGATAACCTTGCTGGGGCATATTCTTGGTATAAGATTTTTTTTTTCCTTTCAGTATTTTTAATAAATTAGACCCTTCCCTTCTTTCCTGTTGAAGTTGAAAAGTCAGCTGATAGTCTTGTGTAGGTTTCATTGTATGTAACAAATTGTTTTTCTTTGGCTGATTTTAAGATTATCTTTCTATCTTTATCTTTTGATATTTTAACTATAACCTGTCTTGTTGTGGTTCTGTTTTCATCTGTCCTTTCTGGACTTGGATGTCTGTTTCCTTCTCCAGGTTAGAGAAGTTTTCAGCCATTATTTCTTCAAATACATTTTCTGTCTTTTCTCTCTCTTATCCTTCTGAGACCCCTATAACATTAATATTAGTGTGCTTGATATTGTCCCAAATGTCTCTTAACTTACCCTCATTTTTAAAAAGTTTTCTCTTTTTGCTGTTCTGATTGGGTGATTTCCACTACAATGTCTTCCAGATTGCTTATACATTCTTCTGCATTATCTAATCCTCTATTGATTCCCTCTAGCAGATTTTTCAATTAGTGTATTCTTCAGCTCTGGTTGGTTTTTTAATGATTTTTGTGTCTCTGTTGAAGTTCTCACTGAGTTCATCCATTCTATCCCAAGTTTAGTGAGCATTTTTATGACTATTATTTGAGCTCTTTATCTGGTAAATTGTTTACATCTGTTTCATTTAGTTCTATTTTTTTTTGAGGTTTTGTCTTGTTCTTTTGTTTGAAAGGTATACCTTTGTCTTTTCACTCTCTGTGTTTGTTTCTGTGTATTAGATATATCAGCTATGTCTCCCATTCTTGAAAGGGTGGCCTTATGTGGAAGGTATTCTGTGGGACCCCATGGAACAATTCCCCCTGGTCACTAGACCCAGGTGCTCCAGGGGTATCCCCTATATGGACTGCATGTGCCCTTCTGTTGTGGTTGGAGAGTAGTTGTTGAGAGTACACTGGTGGGTGAATTTGGCCCCCAGGCCAACTAGCTGGGATCTCATTTGTGACCGTTGTGGGTATGCTAGTGGGTAGGACTGGTGCTTGACCTGGCTGACGGACAGGTCCCACTATGACTGCTTTGGGTCTGCTGATGTGGTGGGGCTGTCCTCTAGCATGACTAGCTGCAGGACCCAGCTGTAACTACTTCAGGCCTGCTGGAATGTGGTGTTGGCCCCAGTTGGGGTGGCTTCTTGAGTTGGGGGCCATGTTGCAGGAGCAGGACAGGTCATTCAGGTTGGGCATGGTTGGTCTTCATGGCAACATTGGTGTGAGATGTACAGTCTTAGCTAGGTTGTTGGAGAGTGACAGAAATGGTGCCAGCCAGTGCCAGGCCAGTTAGGTGTAAGGAAAGTTAAAAGAAAGAAAGAGTGTCTGCCAGCTTTTTCATCCCCAGAGAAAGTGCCACCAGATCCCTGCCCCTCCAGCACATGCCCTAGAGTTAAACAATGAATCTCCTTCTCGTATGACCCAAACACTTTTTAAGCTGCTGCCTCTGTGCTAGAACTTGGAGCAAGTTAGTTTGTGTGAGTGAAAACCCTTCAAGAATTTAAATTTTGGTTTTCCACAGCCCTCTGGCTCTCCTGTATGAAAGCCTTACTGGCTGTCAAAGCCAGATTTTATGGAGAATTGTCTTCCAAGTACAGGTCCCCTAATATGGGAGGTGAAACCCCTTGCTCTTCAGGGATACCTCTGATATTTTGGTTTCCCTCCCATTTGTGGGTCAGTGCACCAGAGGTATGGATTCTAACTATACCATGTCTCTGCTGTTTCTTCCTATCTCAATGTGGCCTCTTCTATATACTCTTAGTTGTAGTAAATCTGTTCTGCTTATCTTCATGCTGTTCTCAAAGATAGTTGTTCTATATGTAGTTGTAGTTTTAGTATGTCCATAGGAGGAGGTAAGCTCAAATTTTTCCTACTCTGCCTCCTTGACTTGGACTTCTGTCTTTCTGTTTCTGTGACTGAAATATTTGAATGTCTCTTCTTACAATTGTTTCAAAATATCTAGGAACTGTGAACACTTAGGTTGAACCAAGTTCTGAGTGATTGGTAAGTAGCCAGGCATAATTCAGAAAACAAGGGTTGTGTCTGAGCTTAGCTACTGAGAAGTTCAACTCAAAGCTTCTGTTCTTAGCCTTTCTTTCCTACGTCTTACCAAGCCTTCCTTGGCTCACATATGCTCCTGCTTCCTTTATCTCTCCAAAGACTTTATTACAAAATACACACACACACACACACACACACACACACACACACACACACACACA